TTCCCAGCATCTTAGATGTGTTTTCCATGAATTGTGACCTATCTCCCACTTTTTCCTGTATCTCTCTTGTTCCTCAACTCCTCCTTTACCCATGAGGATGGTAAGATGTTAAAATCGTTTATGTTGCTTTGCATGTCTCTGAGACTCTTAATTGTTTTGTTCTTTTTTCTTTCTCTTTGTTTTTAGATTGGCATTTTAATGCCCCGCAGAGTCTTGGACTCTTGTTCTTTTTCTGATGGAAGCTTATTTATTTCCATTAAATGAATTCCATTGATGTCACATTCCATTCATGTCAAGGGTATTGGCCTCTCTCTCTCTCTCTCTCTCTCTCTCTCTCTCTCTCTATGAGAATGGTTGTTTTTAGTGTTGTAGGGGAAACTGAGCCAACAGTAACCAAGAGCTCAGGAGAAGAAAGGAAATTTAGTGGTCTCCAGGGGAGTCATCCTCAAAGTCTGAGGTGGTATTTGCAGAGAGCTTGTCTTTTTTATAGAGTGGCAAACAGAGGTTGTGGGGAAGAGTTGCAAGGTTTTAGCTGAAGGATGTGGTACAATGGCTATCTTGTGGTCAACATAGTTGTGTGTAGCAAAGTTGTCAGCACGTTCCCAGGGCTTTCAGTTGGATGAAAACATATGATTTAGCTGAGTTCAGTAGCTGAGTACAGAATGGCTTTACCTTTGCTGAACAAAGTGTCTATGGTTTGATCAGGCTTTCTGCTTCCATGGTAGGGGTTTTCCATGATCCTTCCTTTATGTGGGTTGTTGCAGGGCTGGATATTGCCCTTTCCCTTGAGGATTGGTCAGATGGTCTCAATTTTCTATATGTACTATTGCTTAGTTTTAGATAGTGCCCTGGACAGTTTGCTGGTTGATTTAGGAGACTCTGGTTCCTATTAATTTCCTAAGGCAAGCAATGGTTTCTCTTGTTCTGTTGTTCTGCAAAGCTGTCAAGGCAGCAGGGTCAGACTGTATCCTGCATTTGCTTTGCATTGTCCAGGTTGTGCTCAGGCCACAGTGCCCCACCCCCAGCCCCGGTGGTCTACTGGATGCCTGGTGGTTGATAGCTCAGTCGCTTCCCAAAGCCTTTGCCTTGCTTCTTTGGAACTATTCTGTGCAAGAGGCTCAGTGTGAGCCTAGACCTTGTGCTGGCTCTTACACAGACTTCAGTGATTTCTTTCTGCAGCTCTCTCCTCTTTAAAATGCCGTTTACATTTTCCTGCCACAAGAAGAGAACTTCCCCAGGGCAGGTCAACCCTCAGGCCATCAGCAACAGCAATAGAGTACAAACATAGTGGCAATTTCCCTCATTCTCTTCATACAGCAGAAGTCACTGCCTGTTCCTTTGTGGGCACAGGTCATTTGTTGGGGCTTTAGGTCCTTCTGCCTCTCTTGAGGCTGCTGGACAACTTTGCAACCGGTGAGGAAAAAAACCCACAAAAGTGGGATGGGGATGACTCTTTAAGCCTCAGATGCACCCCCAGCCCCGAGCAGCAGTCCACACTTCTCTGGATTCTCTGGACAAACAAGGATTGGGGTCCAGAATTTATTCTTTCAGTGATTACTGGAATTTACTTTCCCTAGACAAAGCTGGAAGACACAGAAGGAGAAACTCAACATGTAACAGCCCATTATGGGCTGTTGTTCTCCTTTGGATTTCAGTCCCCATTTGCCTGATACTGCATGCTTGCAGCATTTTGAAGTACAGTACGCGCTTTCTGTCTGTGTCTGGTTGCAGTTGTAATTTGTGTGGGAGAGAAATTATCTGGGGCTTCCCATCTTTCCCTAACAAAGTTCTATGGCTACTAAATTAATTGAAAAGAAATGTATTTGCATTGTTACCTATGACAGAGTTCGCCTTCTTTTTAGTGGCAGAATACTTTTGGATTGTAGGAATCGTATGGCCTGGTTTTTATCCATTGCAACAGTAACGTTTATATTGCTTCTACATCTTGTTTGTTATGGAAAGTGTTGCTGTGAACAAGGGAGCGCAGAACGTTTCACTCCTGGTTTCTGTTGTTTTGGAGAAGAACCCAGAAAGGTTAGTGAAGTAGACCAATCACAGAGGGACAAATACTACACGATTTTCTTTATATGAGATGCTTAAAATATAGCAACCTTTCAAGGAGGCAGTAGAATGGTGATTTCCAGGGTCTGAGGATGAGGGGAATGTGAGTTGCTGGGCATTTGGTATCAAAGGTGTATAAATTCTGTACTTCTGTTACAAAAGTGTGCCTATAGGCAATAAAATTGTAATAATGTGCTTAGAAATTTTGTAGAAGTGCACAGTTCACATTGTCTATCATAATGAAAAGCAGCGTTAGGCAGTTTTGACTGACAATAAAAGATTTAAGTCTATAAAATTGAAGGATTGACTCACTGAATAAATATCAAAGTCTATAATCAGGCAATTTCCAAGAAATAAAACCTAGAATTATTTCACAACAAAGGAATTTAATGAGTATCTCACAAAATGTGTGCATATAAGTGCACATGAGAGATGTGTATATCTATTTTACTATAATGCTAGTATATTTAGATGTTCTAACTTTCCTATAAAACTAAAGTCTCCTGGTTTATAATTTTCTTTATTGTTCTATAATTTTGTGAGTGGAGGTATTATTGGTAATAAACCAGGAAACAGTCGTGGTTTTTGATGCAGCCTTCCTTGCTATTTCCTTTAAGTGTTTCATTCCTTGACTTAAAGAAACTGAACAGTAGAAGAAAGAACACTGGGTGGCAGATGGGGCCACAATGAAGTACAGGAGGAGGTGTCCCTGGGAAGTCAGCATCAGCCCCAGATCACCCTACGGGCCGCTCTTGGTATGAAATCCGCTTGAATTAGTGATAGGTTTCACTCATGTGGGAGCCTGCCAGACCTCACGTGGTGCCTGCCCAACCTGGTGCTGGACCCTAACATGACAGCGTGTCCCTCTAGTATTGATTTCTGTGTTCTTCTTCTGAGCTCCAGTTGACCTTTTTGCTTTTCGTGCATGTGCCAGCATCTCCCCCATCAGCTGTCAGTAGGTCTTTCTGCCCGCCTCTTCAAACACCACCCCCTGTCCAACCTAATAAAAGCCCCATGGCTTCTTTGTCTGCCTCAGAGGGATCTTGCACTCTTTGGCAGCTCTCCCATGCCCACTGATAAGGCCTTTTTTTTTTTTCTGCCTTTGTTTCTCTGCTCAACCAAAAAGCCCCAACAATTAACATGCTCAGTTCTGGAAAAATAACAAGTCTCATCCAGTGCAGGTGAATGCAGTCAAGAACATTGTTTTCATTGCACAGCATTAGTGCTTAAGGAGTGTGAGCAAGGCAGAAGAATATGGTGCATTATATAGTATCTTTCCCTCCTCTTGATATAGAAATAGAAATGAAAGGCCCAGGGATTTAGCTCAGTGGCATGAGTGCCTGCCTGGCAAGCATGAGGCTGTGAGTTCCATCTCCAGTACCAAAAATGAATACAATAAAAAGTAAGACAGAAAAGAAATAGAAATCCAGTGAACGTGTATCTTAGTGTCCTTCCTCACTTACTAACATTTCTCCAAAACAACCTCTGATGTCATATGTTCTTTCTTGTATGCATTTCGTATTCTGTTAACTAAGAGGTATGCGGAGGGAGGGTAGCACAAGGCTCCCACCCCTCACCCCAGCTGTGGGTGTAGCGGGCAGCTTGTGGATAGTTCTCAGGGCAGGTCTTAATGGAGAGATGCATTCTTGGCAGGGCCGGCAGGGCTTGTTGGGACAGGGTGTAGAATGGGACTGCCCAAAGGGAATCAGGCTTCAGGAAAGGAGCGAGGTTTATACTGGTCACAGGTCTCCTTCTAAGGCTACATGCGCAGCCTCTGAAGTCACCTCCAGAAGCCAGGGGAACTTCCTGAGAGCCCTGGGTGAGGGCCAGCAGACTGCTCCTTTGGGAGGTAGCGTCCCCGGGCATTTTCATCTCCAGAGCACATACACGGGACAGCAAGAGCCAGATGCTGTCTTAGTGTACCCTTGGATGCTTCCTGGGGCAGTGGTAGAGCACTTGGAGTCAGTTTGAAGAGAGCTGCTCCGTCCATTTGCAAAAATGTTTGGGCTCCCTGAGTGCATCCTCCCTAGTGCAGACTGAAGGAAATGTAGCTTTCCTTCCCTTGTGATCTATCTGTTCATCCTTGACCACTCATGGAAACAGCTGATGTTTTCTCCCTCCCTAGATACTATGTTCCCTTCTCCAGAAATAATATGGTTGGATCATAAGCTTGCAGTCTTGTCATACTGGCTTTTTTCACTTAGTAATGGACCTGTTTTTTGGTAGTCATGGAGTTTTCAGTCCCTCTGTGCTTCCTTATCTTGATCTGTCCTGCCCCAGCTCAGCATGTAACACTTCATTTGTAGTAGTCACGAAGTAATGAGTGAATGAGGTATAGAAATAAATGAAGTGCATCGTGTAACATATGGTCATTTCTTTCATTTTTATTCATAGAAAGAATGAACTCTAAGACACCAAGAAAGGTGATGTGAAACACTGTCTGACAATCAATGAAAACAGTGGTGTGGTTTCTTGGGTAAGTGCATTTTGAAGGTTCTAGAGGAAATAAAAACTACATTTTTGATTTGAATCGGTTAGAATGCTCTTTATGTTCTTGGATTTCTTTTCAAAAATTCATTTAAAATGGGGACCATTTTGCCGTATTTCTGTCTATATACTGAGTTAGTCATATACAACCAGAAGTAATGTTTGTTTTGTAATCTTATATGCAATAAGATTAGCCATTAGGATCATTTAACAGCATGGGGATTTGTTTGTTTGATTGTTTGTTTGTTTGTTTTTTGGTGGTGGGGATCAAACTTCTGACCTCTTGCTTTCCAGGCAGGCACTTATGCCACTGAGCTAAATTCATGGCCCTGGTCTGGGATTTGGCTCAGCAGTGTAAGTGTCTGCCTGGCAAGTGTGAGGTCATGAGTTTGATCCTCAGTAGCAAAAAAAAAAAAAAAAAAAAAAAAAAAAAAATTCAGCACACTTTAAAATCACTTCTTTAATTATTTTTAATTTGATTTTACATTTGTTGTGTGGGTGGGGGGGTAGGGAACCATTGGCTCAGTTGTGATCATGTGACATGCAGTGTCAGGTACTACTGGTATTGCAAGACATCACCTTTATAAAGTTAAAATTTATTAGAAATGCTTGCTTGTCTTGCAAAACACTTGCACAACAAGTTACTCACAATCTAAGCATTTTTAACTCAGATTGTTTACAAGCATCTGCAGTATCAGTTTTTTCTTTTCTTCTTCTTCCTCTTCTTATTCTTCTTACCCGATCTCCTCCTCCTTCTCTTTCTTTGTTTCCTCCCCCCCCCCCCTGCTTCCCCTGCTTCTTCTTTGCTTCGGTGGCCAGTTTCTTAAATACACCCTATGTGTACCTTATTGTAGAGCTTTTTAAAAAATTGTTCACCTACAGACTTGATACAAATGTAGTTTATAGAAAACCATCTGCAAACCTGAAATGAAAATAGTACACTTACTATACATATATTAAACTGATAAATTGTTAGGAATCATTTAATTTAATCCATCATTTGACAATGAAATACTAGGTGGTTTAATTTTCTTTCATTTGGTATTCATTTTAGAGGTGCAGATTGGCACACAGCAAAGGACTTTAACACCATGGTAAAAGTAATAAAGTTTAATTAACTATTAATTAGCACATGAACTATTGCATCGAAGAAAGAGAAAGTACGGAAGTTACCATATCGGCAGAGCTTGGCTTCCTCTTCTAAATAACTATAAAACACTTGCTTACAATGCTGGCATATATGCAAATGTAAGTACATCTTCAAGCCATCACCACCAAATCTGAGTTCAGTTTCTAACTTTTGTTTTCCTGCTTTCACAGCGAGCCCTTTTAAGACCTCCAAAACTCTCATTAAGATCGTTTCAAATGTGTCTCCTCCTACCGTGTCCTTTGCTTATGACTGTTAAGCTGTAGGAAAAACCCAGTCTCCATCCCAAGAATTTTTGAGTCTTCTAGCTTTGCCCTGGAGGAGCAGAGAAGGGCGCTCAGCTAGGGATGAATCATTCAAGGTAGTTCAAGCAATGAATGGGGCGCATTCCTCCCTGACATCTCTCTGTAAGTTCTGTCCCACCCTAGGCAGTTGTGCTAGTTCTCATCCTGGAGAATCAGGTGGTGCTGCTGCCCCGGGGGTGATGGAAGGTTACGTGTATAAACAGTTCAAAAAGCTATTTGTTGGGGCTGGGGATTTAGCTCAGTGGCATAAGCACCTGCCTTGTAAGCAGGCAGCCTTGAGTTCGATCCCTGGTACCGGTAAAAAGGAAAAAGACCAAAAGAAAAAAAAAAAAAGCCATTTGTTTTTCTTCCTTTCCTGTGTACAGAAGATTGCACCTAGGGGCATCTATCACTGAACTACATCCCCCACTCCTTTTATTTAAATTACCCAGAGGAGCCTGAACTTGTGATCCTAGAGGCTCAGCCTCCTTAGTGCTGGGATTAAAGGTGCACAGCACACCTCATGTAAAGGGCTTATTTTGGCTCACTGTGGTAGAGTTACATTCCGAGACTGCTTACCCCGGTGCTTTTGGGCCGATGTTGAAGCAGCACATGATGGGAGGATGTGACAGGAGAATCACAAGCTCAAGGCCAGCCTGGGGGACTTCACGACTTAGTGGAACCCTGTCTCAAACTCGAAAATAAAAAAAGGGCTGGGAATGTAGTTCAGATGAAACGTGTTATAGTTTAAATTTTTCTTAGAGTAATGCAGGTTAAATGTGTTTTAATATCTTCAGTTTGTACTTTTTTTGTGAACTTTGCTTATGTACTTTGTGTAATAATGGTATCAGACTAATTTTAGAATACATGCTGCTTGGAGAAGTTTTGAACACTTACAAAGCTTGTGCTTTTCTCTACAGACATACATACTGAATCACAATAGTCCTTGTGATCTCTGAACTTTTGAGTTCTCTCCATATTGAAGTGAAGGCAGCAGTTATCAGGAACAAGGAGTTAAGAGAAACACGTACTAAATCAGGCAGCCAGTATTTGGGTTCAGTAATATGTTTCTAAGATGCTCACAAGATTTGGAAACCGCTAAGCAAATCGGCTGAAATCAAGCAATGCCAATCGGCGAGAGAATACGATGAGGCCCCTGCTAAACCAAAGTGGCCATTCTTTCTGACCTCGAAGCCATCAGGAAATCACAGAAGCTTGTTTTACTCATTTAGCTCCAGATTAAAATTTGAACTATACTGAAATTAGATACTTGGGTGACTAGGACTAGCTAATTAGCCCTAGCCAAATGGTAAACTCAACCAAGTACAGTGGAGCCAGGCTCAGAACTCCTCTGGTGCAAAATGCAATAGTAAACACAAGATCCAGTTCCTAGGCTGGAGAGGGTGGGGCCCTTCAGACCCATCCTGAGTGGGTGGTGACCACAGGCGGCTCACCTGCCTCTGTGATGTCACGCAAGCCCCGCCCACAGCTGCCAGCCACTGCCCATACCAAGCTGCATGCTGGCCCGGGAAGTTGCCCCTTCCTGGAGTCATGACGGGCAGGAAGATGGTGTCTGCCACCCGGTTGCCCAGGTAAAGGGCTTCCATTGCTTTTCTGCATGCTGGCGGTAGGGATGGTGCAGCCATAGCAAAGGTTTAGGGCGGAGAGGCTTTGACACAGGATGCACAGTGACACTGCCCACGCTGCTGGATAGGCATGTATGAAGATGGGACATGAAGCCCGTGGATTGCAGGGATTAGTATAACGATCAGCTCTGGAAAGCAAGGTGAGTAAGAATGGTGGTAGAAGAAACTGAGATATCAAAAGGCTGGAAGTACCGGTAGGTTCAAAGAATTGTTGTGGTAAAGATCCTAGGAGAGACCTAGAAACTTAGGGGAGTTGTGGTCAGGAAATGAAATCATGGAAGGAATGCAATTCTGGTAATGATAAGAGCTAGGTAAGGATTTTTCAGTCTTGGCACATTGAATTGGGAGAGAGTTAGTCAGGGATTAAATCCAGGATCTTTGTCCTGAGCTATATCCCCTGGTTACTTTTTTTTCTTTTTGGATAGGATCTCATTGTCATTAAATTGCCTGGGCTAGGCTCAAAATTGAGATTCTCCTGCCTCACCCTCCCAGAGAGATTACAGGCATGTACCACTATGCCCAGGTGGGCACACTGACATTTTAGATTAGAAAATTCTTTGTTGTCTGGGACCAGCCTGTGCATTGCAGTTGTTTAGCAGCATCCATGACCTCTGCCTATCAGATGCCAAACACCAGCCCTGGAAGTTGTGACAATCAAACATGTCTCCAGACTTTGAAAAATCACCCTAAATTCAGGACCATTGATCTAGCAGGTTAAGTAGTTGAATTCTCCAGGAAAAACGATCGAAATAACCCAGGAAACAGGAAAACCTATGATTACCCATGATTACATCAGAATTACCAAAGGTTAGGACAAGAGTGGTACCTAAGAGAGACTAGAAACCACAAAGGTCAAAAATAAAGAAAAGGTCAGTAGGTGATAAAAATTAAGAGAAGTGAATGACATAATCTGATAAGATTTAAAGCTGATGGTTTATCATCTTCAAAATACATAGTGGTAAAGCTGGTGCTAGAATTTAGGCTTCCTTCCTAGAGCTTTTTTAAATGTCTAGAAGGTGGGCAGACAACACCTCCACATGATTTCATGTTCAATTAAATTAGACCTGCAGAGTCAAAAATAGGGGTCAGCCACAAACAATTGGCATCATTTCTGGCTGCCATCTATAACAAACAGCTGAAAGCACATATTTTTGGCTGCATACTATCCTAAAAATAGGACGTAACATCTTGGTTTTTAAAATACCCTCAATTGTCATTCTGGCCTTTAAAAATATTTTAGTGCCTTTGATTAGAAAATAAATACCATTTATTAAATGAATGCATTTATCTGTTCACTATAGAGCTATCATAACCAACATTTTCCTTAGATAGCCAGTCACCTTTATGCTTATACAGTCCAACCATCAAGGAGAACACAAAGACCTCAATATTAAATGAACCGATTTGCAGTGTTTTCCAACTGTGCATCACCTGCTCCTCTCACTGCCACCTGGAAAGATATCATTTCACCAGACGGAAAGCAGATTTAGAGCAAATGCCGAATTTTCATCCCCTACCTCCTTAAAACATATTTACAAGGGAAGTACTTGAAATAAATAGATGTGTCCCCTTTACAGGAGGAGCAGCTGCAAGATAGGAAATTCAAACTGTAGTGTTGTTTATTAAGTTGTCCCATATGTACTCTCATTTCAATAATTAAGTCTTTAGGCCACATACAAGGTGGGCTCGGTGAGCTTTGACAAACCCATATGCAGAATTTTATCCTATTATGGACTAGAATGAATTTAAATTTTTAATACATAAACATGAAGCACAAAGATGATGTCAAGGAAACACATGATGCTATCATCTGAGTCCTGCTTGAATTTATAGATTACCTAATCCAATATTTAAAGCTCACACAAAATAAAGATAAAATCCTCTCATTTCAAGTCCCAAAGCATTTATTAGCACTTGTCAGAGCTCACCAATGGTATAAATATTTACATTTGTTACACAGTGCTATTGCAATGACTAAGGTATTTTCATGTATCATTTCTAAACTTGATGCTGCTTTTAGAAAAAGGAAAAGAAAAAACTTTCTGAATAAGAACCAGGATTTTAATCTCAGCTTCATCACATATTGGCTGTTACATTACCAATTGGTTTTATTTATGATATTAGTCACTCAGAAGAAAAATTCTATGTATTAGTTCTGACCCAGTCATTGTTCAATAAATGAATAGTCAATTAAAACAAGTGTCTGAGAATGAAAATAAGGTAAGCTTATAGCTAAACCTCTCTACTTAAAAGATGAAAACAATATCTCCATGTTATGATACATCATGAAGTTGGGCTCCTAGTAGTTTTAGTCTTTATTTATAACACAAATGAACAGAAAGAGCTGATGCCTACCTTCCAAACTTTCTTGTTCATCAGAATTATAAGCATTCATCTGACTTTGTTCCCGTAAGAAACGAATGACCGAATAAACGAGGTGCTTGATGGATGACATTTTAGAAGTTTAAACACTTCCTTAATAATAAAAATGAAAACAACTTCTTAATTATAATAAATAGCAAGGACTATATTATTACAATAAAGGCAAAAAACCCCAAAATCTTGCATTACGTTGATCTGTTTGGTCAGGAGAGCAGAGTACTGTTACAGTAATTGGCTACATTTTAAAAATGTAAACTCAGTATCAAACTATGCTTAATCTTGGATTAATAAGATTTTTTCCAAAACATGTAAAACATTAGCTTAGACTCTCACTACATCGTAATTATATATGTAGTATGGATACAGAAAAGAAGTATGAATATAGATATAGAAATCCCAAAAAAGGCCTTGTCTTAAATTGAAGATTTTATACTGCTGACTGAGAAACTGGTGCACAATAAGCATCTTCACCTAGTACGTGAGATTTTTAAAACTACTTTCCTTAGTTGACAGTTACCCTCTGAGGAAATAGACTTGAGAAAGGCAGTTCTATCATTGAGTGTCATTCTCAGAAAAACAGCATTTCTGTGTAATCAAGAGACAGGTCAGGAAATCGGTGCCTACACCGATGATACTACAAACGGAGCAGCGCTGTCCTCAGCAGCCGCTCTCCTGGAGAGGTTGGCGCGGGCCCCGCTCATTCACCGAGATGCGAGCGCCTCCAAACAGTGGCGCGGGGCGAGCTGTTCTCCACTAAATCGCATCCTCCGCCTGCTCCCCGGGTTCCCTAACTCAAAGCCAGGGTGTGGTGCCCGCCGCTAGGATGCTTGCTAGGATGCCTGTTATCCGTGCACCGCTTTTAAAGGCAGCCCAACCTCTAGGCCACGGCGTGATCACACAGCGCAGAAGGTGAAAACAGAAAAAAGGGGAAAGGCAGCGAGAGGGAAGGAGCCACCCACCACCTGCACGCCTCCTCTCCCGCCTCTCCTCCGAGCACGTCCACCCCTACTCCTAGCCGCCCTCGCCTCAGCCCCTAAGGGGTTTGCAGCGGGTGCGCGGCGCAGGCCTCGCCTGGGGCTGGGGGAGACGCACCACTGGCAGACAGAAGCATCTTACCAGAAAAGAGGACGCGGGACGAAGGCTGCGGGCCTGGAGGCTTCCGTGAGCCGGTTCGCCCGCCCCTTCGACCTCAGGAGTGGAGCCTGGCTCAGGATCTCCGCTCTGGCCTCGGTCGCCCAAACTTCCCCACTCCCTACACGGCCACCCACCCAGTCCACCCGGCCGCTAGCTCAGCTCCAGGCGGCTGAGTCTGGCTGGATCCGCCCCTGGGGCGGGCGGGGTCGGGCGGGGCCTTGCGGAGGGGGATGGGGCGGGGCCTTTGCGGGGAGGGGGCGGGGCCGCAGTGGCGCCGGCGTGGGGTTGGCGCACGTGGGAGGGCGCCAGTGGGGCGGTTGTTAGCCGCCGCCGCTGTGGCCTTGCGAGTTGGCCTGGCTTTTGCCTTTCCTGTACCGGAACGCAGCCGTCTGCCTTCTCCAGCCGCAAGTCGAAGGACCCCGCGCCCGCCGCCGCTGGTCTCTCGGCGTGCCCATGATCGCCCCGTGCCTTTCGGTGGTGCGAGGCCTCCACAGGTACTCACGCGCGGGTAACCTTGACCGCGGGCAGGGCCAGTCTTCTGCGCGGGCCGTGCCGGCGCCCGGGCGCAACAGTCTCGCATCCCACCCGCGCCCCTGGAGCCCTCAGTCCCCGCAGCGTGCGGGCCGCGCCCCTGGGGACACCTGCCTGGCGACTTGGGGCCACCTTTCTCTCCTCCGTTCCCTCGGGAGGGCATCCATTCTCCTTTGTTTGGGACTGCGTCAGCTGCAGTCAGCGAGACTGGTCACAGACCCAAACCGAATGAATGCAGAAGGAAGGGCTGGGTTTGAAAATGCTCTCCACCCCCGCCCCCCATCCACAACTGCAGACCTGGCACTAAGAGTGCCGCAGCTGTGAACTCAAGGATAACAATTCTCATTTGTCTATCTTGCACCATATTAGTATTCTAATCCTTTCACATCGGTACGTGAAAACGCTTTGCTTTTGCCGTGTAATTCCGCCCATGCTAATTTTTTTTATTTTATTTTGGTTTTTTATTTTGTTTTAACATTCTATGCATAGAAGAAATATTCTGTCTATTGTCCGGGCAAATTGACTGGGCCCACTGTTACTCCTTAGATACAGTTTTGGGCAGCCTTGGCTGCTGTATTGGATTGCTTCCTAGCTTTCTAACCACACCTCTCTGCAACACACCAGTAGCAAGATGGGGAGAGAATTAAATTCTTTACACAGATGCCCTGGTTTTAGGAAACAGTGCCGCCACCCATTCCCAAATCTGCCCAGAACTGTAAATCCAGAGAGTCAATAGAAGAAAGGGAAGGTTTGTTTTCTGCTGAATACCTATAAAACTACTCTGAAATATACATGTCAGCATTTAAGGTTTTTACAGCTTGCTCTAAAGTGACAGGGCCACTTGTCCATGTGGAGCTTTCTGTTGCTCAATCCTTGCAGTTACTGTGCATCCATAAAACAATGGTAATTATAGAGTTAATGTGATGGTTGTGATTATATTTTTAAGCTGCCCCCTTTTTTTTTTTGCTAGTCTCCAGGCTAGAAGTGGTATAGTTCTCCAATAAAGCTATGCCACCAAATGAAGGCATTTGCATAATGCAGGTGTGAAAAGACAGACTAAATCTTCAGACAGCAGTTCTCTAACTTTTTTTATTTTGGTCTCAGAATGTAACAACTTGCATGTATGTGAGTTATATGTGTATACTTAATTTATTAAGAAATTAAAATAGAATATTGTTAAAGTACTAGTTTATAAAACAGTAATAAATGCATTAATCAATATTTTATTTACCCATTCATCATCAATGAATATAAGATGCTTCTGCCGACTGTTTTGAATACTGCTGTGATGCTGGAGTGCAACTACTTGAGAGCCTGCTTTTAATTCTTTGTGAGCTATGGCTGGAAGTGGAAATTGCTGGATAATTTATTAATGCTATGTCTGGTATCTTGAGGAGCAGTCATACTATTTTCATCTCTGGCTATACCATTTTTACATTCTCATCAGCAGTACATACCCCTGGCTTTCAGTTTCTCCACAGAGTATCCAATAGTACTGTTTTGCATTTTTTCAAAACTAATGTATGATTTAATATAAGATATCCTGCTTCCTAGATCTGCTTTGGCATCTAATCTGTTGCTCTGTTTTGTTTTGCTTTTAGAATATGGAGAGCCAAGCATGGTGGTGCATACCTATAATCTCAGCTCTCTGATAGGCCAAGACAAGAGGACTACAAGTTCGAGCCCAGCCTAGGAAACAGTGCTTTAGCAAGACTTTGTTTCAAAATAAAGCATTTATAAAGGGCTGGGGATGTAGCTCAGTGTGAAGGCCCTGGATATAATCTCCAGTACTGAAGGGGGGTGAAAATGAAGGAAAGCCTGCCTCACCCTTATATGTGGAGGAAATATTTCAATAGCTTTTAATAATAAAATCACAGATACTTAATATATATAATATATAATATACAGATACTTAATATATCACCACAGTTCAGCAAATGGTAGTTTTCCAAAGTTCACTTGCAAAGTGGAATCTGAAATCATCAAAGTGCTTTACTTACTGTTTCACTAAAATCAGTTGGTATATCTTATATTTTGAGTGGGTCTTCTACTCATACTTGATTTTGTAATGTCAAATTGAAATCATTTGGAAATTAGTGGTTCAATGTGTTGTACATATGTCTTCCTAATGTTGACATGTTTCATTATTAGGTATCAAACAATCATTCTTTAATGTCCTCATCTGTCTCAACAGAGGAGTCTTCAAATGTTAGCTATCAAGCTCATTGTGAAATGGAGTTTTCCAAAATTCTGATTTTCACTTGAAAGTTGTAATTTTATCACTAGGGACACCTTACTGTCAGTTTTTTCCCTAAAAGTGAGCTTCAGTTGTTACATTTTTACAGAATTCTGTCAGATACCCAAATCAGAATAATCCTGATTTGATTGTCAAGTAATTTGATCAAGGGGGTATTCCATGACAAAATAAATTAGCAGTTTATTCAGCTGTAAAAGTTCTTTGGATTTCGACAGCCAGATCTCCTGGGCAACCACTAAACTTAGATTATGCAGCAGAGGTGGTCACAAAAACATACTAAAGGGTTGAAATTTATTCACAATTGTTTGATAGTACTGGAAATTGACTCTAGCATCTTACACATGCTTGGCAAGTGCTCTACTATTGAACTATATCCTCACCTTTTTTTTTTTTTATTTTGTGGCAGACTCCCACTATGTTTCCCGAGCTGGCTGGGCTCAAAATTGGATTTCTCCTGCCTCAGCCTCCCAAGCAGCTAGGATTGCAGATATGTATCATCATGCCTGGCCCCACTGGACCTCTCTCAAGTTTCTTATTTTGTAAAATAAAAAAGACCAGATTAAATTATATCTAAAGTTTTTGTCCCCTAATTCTAAGTTGCTATGGGAATTAAACTAGGAGAATTCCCATCGTACCTCAACCAATTGTGCAGCATGTGACTCTAGCAAAATTTAAGGTCTCATGCAGGGTAGAGGACACAGTCAAAGAAACAAACAGCAAGATTTATTCAACCATATTAGGCCAAATTATAGCTCTGATAATCCTAATTTTTTCTTTCAATAAAAGAAGTTTGGTTAAGTTATAACAATATATATTCTGTATAGAAAACTCAAAAAATAATGACACAAAGAAAATATTAAAAATATACATGCACAGACTGCATATCCAAAAGTACTGATTGTTAACAGACTTCAAAAATTTCTTTTATCTCCAGCCTTTTTATTTTATTCATTCATTCATTAATTTTTTTTTTTTTGGCACCGGGGGATCAAACTCATGATTTTACACTTGAGAGGCAGGTGCTTCCACTGCTGAGCTAAACCCTCGTCCTCTCCAGCCTTTTTAAAACAAACATGAGTTTGCCATATTCTAATCTTTAAAGTAATATAAGCATACATTTATTTCAGTAGCTACAGTTCACTGGAGATATTGAGAATTTGGTTAATCCTTACCTTTGTCATGTCACCTATTTCCAACATTTTTATGAATAACGCTGCTTGGATAAATATTCTTTTTTTTTTGGATACAAGGTCTTGCTATGTCGGCAAGGCTGGCCTTGAACTCTTAGGGGATATACCTGCTTCAGTATCCCAAGTTCTGGGATGACAGGTGTGTGCGACTATGGCCAAGTCTTATTTTCTTATAAAAATTCTCAAAAAATGAAATTTTTATATCAAAGCACAATTTGTGTATCAGCTACTTTCAGGCCTTTGGTATTCATTATCATACTGTACTCCAAAAAATTTCTCACAAATTATACTAAACCAGCAAAATATATAAGCACTGATTTTCCCATCTTTACTAACACCTGAGCATTTTAGTAATTTTTATCCTTCCCAATTTGATAAGTAGAAATTTCTTGTAATTTCCATTTCCTTCCATTTTTTGATAGTTTGCTTGCTAAGTATAATTCCTTAACAAAATGCAACACTGTGGTCTAGAAGCCAAAAACATTCTTTTCTGATATAAAATTTTAATCATGGGAATATACTAGACCAATTAGTTATTCAAAAAATTAATAATTATGTATCTCACTATAATTAAAATAGGCCATTGCCTTAAATCCAATAGGTATAACTTCCAAAAGTTTAGGACAGTAGTATAAGAGGAAAAACAGCTTTTCTTAATAAAGAAAAGCTACTGTCAAAAACTAGACTGAGATTATTTGTAAAAATGGACAAAAAGGGGTTTTGTTTTGATTGTTGGTTTTATTTACCCCCTTGTTTTGTTTAGAAACATCCTGATACTTTCTCAGGTTTAAATAGTGTCTCCTCTTTGGTTAAGATATTACACAGAACAGAGGTGGCAAACCTATGGCACATGTGCCACAGCTCGCTGTTTTTTGTCATTGAGAGTGACAAAAGATTCACCATCATTGAATATTAAAGATGTAAGAACAAAGGAAATTCATGTTTATTGAGTACATACATATATCTCTAGCTCTGCATGGCAAAGGGCATGTAGCATAATGGTTTAGACCAGACGTACTAGGTCCAACCAGCTAGCTATGTTGCTGAATAGCCCTGTGATTTTAGGCAAAAACACCTACCGATGTCTATTTATAGATTCATAAGTAGGACTGATTGGCAGGTTTCTTCAGTCATGGGTATCATAGATATGGGGTTACAGCAATGAACAAAGCAAACCAAAATCCTTGTGTTGATTGACTTTCCGTTGTAAAAAAACCGAAAAATAGAACCAAGGAAAGTGGTGCATATCTGTAATCTTTGCGTTCTGGAGGCTGAGGCCTTTGGAATCATTCCAAGTTCAAGGCCAGCCTGGACTCTACAGTGAGTGCAGGGTCTACCCAGTGAGATCCTGTCTCACAAAAAAAGGAAGAAAGAAAAGAAAACTGTATTGGTTACTCTTCTCTGGTTGCTGGGACAAAATACCCAATACTCAAAATTAAGAAAGGAAAAGTTTATTTAGCTTACAGTTTGTGGAGGTTTTAGTCCATAATCAGCTGGCTGCAAGGCAAAGTGGCAT